GGCCATGCTGTCGGGCCTGGCCACGCACAAGTGGCCAATGAGATTGTAACACACACAGGAAATTCCACAGTGATGCTGGGTGACCAGTTGAGGTACAATTTACCCTAGTAGACATTTGAACCAGCCTATTAAACCTTGGTTAGGATTGGCGCCAAAAAGGCTCCCAAAGGGCTAGGGTCCCTACTTCTTGGTAGCTAGGGAGACAGTATGCAAACCCCCACTGATAGGATGTTTCCACCTGGCCTGACCCACCCCTGTATTTGAGCTTTGTTACCTGAGGCTGGTTTCCGGGACTTGTCTCCAAGTAAATCCCCTGGGGGAAGGAGAGCAGAGACAGTTTCTAAATAGGTCCTTACAATCATCTCTTCAGGAAACCCCATGCCCTGTAGTAGTCAATCTCCATTAACCCCTGAACAACCCCACTCTTGCTTTCTGTCTTTATCCATTTGCCTATTTTGGAATTTCACATAAACAGAATCATGTAACGTGCAGTGTTTTGTGACTGGCTTCTTTCATTTAGCATAATTTTTTCAAGTATATTGTAACACTTATCAGTACTTAATTCTTTTTTATTACTAAATATTCGATTGTAGAGCTGTACATCTTATTTATCCACTCATTACTTGATGGACATTTGGATTGTTCTACTCTTTTGGCTATTAGCAAATAATGCTGCTGTCAACACTCAGGGACAAGTTTTTGTATGCATATTTGTTTTCTTTTCTTTTCTTTTTTTTTTTTTAGGATTTTATTTATTCATTTGACAGACAGAGATCGCAAGTAGGCAGAGAGGCAGGCAGAGAGAGAGGGGAAGGGAAGCAGGATCCCTGCTGAGCGGAGAGCCTGAGGCTGGCTCCGTCCCAGGACCCTGGGATCATGACCTGAGCCGAAGGCAGAGGCTTTAACCCACTGAGCCACCCAGGCCCCCCTGCATATTTGTTTTCAGTTCTCCTGTGTGTGTGTGTGTATGTGTGTGTGTGTGTGTGTAGAGAGAGAGAGAATTGGGATTCCAGGGTTGTATGTTAACTCTGTATCTAACCTTTTGAGGAATTGCCAGATTGTTTTCAAAAGCAACCATACTTTTTTACTTAACACCAGCAATATGAAGGTTCCAACTTCTTCTCCATATTGTTACTGACACTTGTTATTGTCCTTCTTTATGATAATAGTCATTCTAGTGTTGTGAGGTGGTATGTCATTGCAATTTTGATTTGCATTTCCCTGATGTCTAGTGACATTGAGCATCTTTTCATGTGCTTATTGGCCACTTATTTATCTTTTTTTGGTAAAATGTCTATTCAAATCCTTTACTATTTTGTGTTTATATTATTGAGTTAGAAGAGTTCTTTATGTATTTTAGATACAAATCTATTACTGTATTTGCAAATATTTTCTGCCATTCAATGAGGTTTTATTTTTTTTTCTATACTAATAATGTCCTTTGCTGTTTAAATTTTTTTTTGAGGTTTTATTTATTTATTTGGCAGAGAGAGACAGTGAGAAAGGGAACCAAGCAGGGAGAGTGGGAGAGGGAGAAGCAGGGTTCCGGCAGAGCAAAGAGCCCCATGTAGGACTCCATCTCAGGACCTTGGGATCATAACCCGAGCCAAAGGCAAATGTTTAATGACTGAGCCACCCAGGTGCCCCAAAAAGTTCTAAATTTTTAAAAATTCAGGTATAATCAACATATAACATTATATTAGTTATAGTTATACAATATAATGATTTGATGTTTATATACATTGCAAAATGATCACCACAATAAGTCTCATTAACATCTGCCACCATATATAGTTAAAAAAGTTGTTTTTTCTTGTGCTGAGAACTTTTAAGATTTGCTGTCTTGGCAGCTTTCAAATATGCAATCCAGTTAATATTAACTGTAATTGTTAGGCTGTGCATTACTTTCCCATGACTTTATTTTATAACTGGAAGTTTGTACCTTTTGATTTTCTTCTTTTTTATGTCTGAATAATATTCCATTGTGTATTTTAGCACATTTTCTTCATTCATTCATCAATCAGTAGAATCATTGGTTATTTCCATTTCTTTTTCTTTTTTTTTTTAAGTTATCTCTATGCCCAATGTGGGAATCAAACGCATAACCCCAAGATTAAGAGTTACATGCTCTACTGATAGCCAGCCAGATGCCCATATGTTGTTTCCATTTCCTGGCTTTTGCAAATAATGCTGCAGTTAATATGGGGGTGCAGTACCTTTCCAAGTTAGTGTTTTTATTTTCTGAAGAGAAATACCCGGAAGTGGAGTTAATAGATCATATGGTATTTCTAATTGTGGTTTTTTGAGGAGACTCCATATTGTTTTATATAAAAGAGGGTCCCCTTTTCTCCACATCCTCATTACACTTCTTCTTGTCTTTTTTTTTTTGTTTTTTTTAAAGATTTTATTTATTTATTTGACAGACGGAGATCATAAGTAGGCAGGGAGGCAGGCAGAGAGAGAGGAGGAAGCAGGCTCTGCTGAGCAGAGAGCCTGATGCGGGGCTCGATCCCAGGACCCTGGGATCATGACCTGAGCCGAAGGCAGAGACTTTAACCCACTGAGCCACCCAGGCGCCCCATTCTTCTTGTCTTTTTGATAACAGCCATTCTAACATGTATGGGGGAGATCTCATTGTAGTTTTGGTTTGCATTTCCCTGGTAATTAATGATGTGCTCTTTTTTCATATATCCGTTGGCCATCTTCTTTGGAAAAGTATCTGTTGAGATTCTTTTCCCACTTATAATCAGATTGTGTTTTTTGCTATTGAGTTGTGTGAGTTCATTATGTTTTGGATGTTAACCCCTTCTCAGATACTATATATGATTTGTAAATATTTTTTATTTAGTAGGTTACCTTTTCATTTAGTGGTTTTCTTTGCTGTACAGAAGCTTTTTAGTTTGATGTAGTGCCCCTTACTCATTTTTAATTTTTCTGCTTTACTTTTAGTCTTAAATTCAAAAGACTATTGCAAAAGCCTCTATTAAGGAGTTTATTGCCCATGTTTTCTTCTAGGGATTTTATAATTTCAAGTCTTACACTCAAGTATTTAGTCCATTTTGAGTGAATTTTTGTGTATGGTGTAGGTCAGGGATCCAGTTTCACTTTTTGATTACTGTAGCTTTGTAATATAGTTTGAAATCAAGATGTGTGACATCTCCAGCTTTGTTCTTTCTCAGGATTGCTTTGACTCTTCAGGGTTTTTTGTGGTTCCATATTAAGTTTAGAATTGTTCTATTTTTTTTGAGAAATGTCACTGGAATTTTGCTAACCATTACATTGAATCTGTATATTATTTTGGGTAATGTGAACATTTTAACAATATTATACAAATATGTACAGAATATTCCATCCAGAAAGAACAGAATACATTTTCTTCTCAATTACGCATGGAATGCTCTTCAGCATAGTTCATATGTTAGGGCACAAAACAAACTTTAAAAACTTAAGAAGACTGAAATCATAGTAAGCATCTTTTTCAACCACAGTGCTGTAAAAGCAGAAATAAATTACGAGTACAAAAGTGAAGTAAACAACATGCTACTGAACAACCAGTGAGTGAAAGAAGAAATCAAAAGAGAAATTTAAAAAAACCTGAAGACAACTGAAAATGGAAATAGAACACACCATAACTTAAAAGATGCAGCAGAAGTAGGCGAAGTAAAGCCCAAACTTAGGAGAAGGGAGGAAATAACATAGACCAAAGCAGGGGAAAAAAAAAAGAAAGAAAGAAAAATAGAAACTAAAAGGAAAGTAGAAAAGATCAATGAAACTAAGAACTGGTTCTTTGGAAAGATAAAACAAAATTAACAAATCTTTTGTTAAACTCACCAAGTATAAAAGAGAGAAGACTCAAGTAAAATCAGAGGTAAAAGAGGAGAAGTTACAAGTAATACAACAGAAATAAAAAGGATCCCAAGAGACTATATGAACAAACGTATATGAACAAATTGGAGAAATAGATAATTTCCTAGAAACGTACAACCTACCAAGACTGAATTAAAGAAATAGAAAATCTGAACAGGGATGCCTGGTTGGCTCAGTTGGTTGAGCTGCTGCCTTCGGCTCGGGTCGAGGTTCCGGGGTCCTGGGATCAAGTCCCGCATGGGGCCCCTTGCTCCGCGGAGAGCCTGCTTCTCCCTCTGCCTGCTCTGACTGCCACTCCCCCTGCTTGTGCTGTCTCTCTCTCTCTCTCTCTCTGACAAATAAATAAATAAAATCTTAAAAAAAAAAAAGAAAAGAAAATCTGAACAGATTAAGTACTAGTAAAATTGAATTAATAATTAAAAACCTCCCCCCAAACAAAACTCCAGGACCAGACAGTTTCATGGGTGAATTCTGCCAATATTTCAAGAATTAATAGCGATTCATCTCAAATCATTCCAAAACTTCCAAACTCATTTTATGAGGCCAAAATCACCCTGATACCAAAACCAGACAAGGATGGCAGAAGAAAAGAAAATTGCTGGCCTAGATCCCTGATATATGTAGTTGCAAGAATCCTCAACAAAATATTAGCAAGCCAAATTCAACTCTGAATAGATGCAGAAAAAGCATTAGACAGAAAATGTCAACATCTGTTTATGATGAAAACTCTCAACAAACAGGGTATAGAGGAAGTATACCTCAACATAATAAAGGCCTTATATGACAAACCCACAGCTAACATTATACTCGCAATGAAAAGCCAGAAGCTTTTCCTCTAAGATCAGGAACAAGACAAGGATGCCTGTTCTTGCTACTTTGATTCAACATAGTACTGAAAGTCGTAGCCAATGTAATTAGGCAAGAAAAAGAAATGAAAGGCGTCCAAATAGGAAAGGAAGAAGTAAAATTGTCACGATTTGCAGGTGACATTTTTAAAAGCTTTAAGAAAGTAGATAAATCTGGGGTGCCTATATGGCTTAGTTAGTAGAGCAGCCCTATATTTATTTTATTTCATCAAATAAATCTTAGGCAATTGGTAAAAAATAATGCTTGATTTTCCCCCCCACTTTTAGTGTTAAATGTTTACAAAAGTCAGTGAAGGATTCTTACCACATAATGTGTAGACCATGTGCCTGTGAACTTGAAGTTTGTGCAAAGTGTGGAAAGAAAGAAGACATTGTTATTCCGTGAGTATTTTTTTTTAATGTTTGTGATTTACTCTTTAAGTAATTGATCTCTGAATTTTTTTTTGAGGAAACATCCAGTAGCTCTGAGAGTCTTAAGGTACAGTGTATCACACTGATTTAGACTTTTTTTCTACCTAACAGGAAAAAATCTTATTTATTATATTTTTCTATCATTATAGTAAAAATAAAACTATATTTTTAGGAAATTAAAATATTTATCTATGAAGTTCATATTCATCACTTATCACACAAGAATTTATTCATTATGCAACTAATTTTCTTGAATGGTTATCACTTATTAATTTCTTTGAGCCTACTTTATTGACAACAGTATTATAATTGGTTGGAGTCAAGACTTCAAGACTGGAGTTAATCTTCAAGGATTGTTTTCTTTATACTTATTAGACTCCTATCAATGAGGAAATATAAAGTTCTTTTCAATCAACAGTTAGAAAACGAAAGCCTGAGAAATAAATAGAAGTTTTTTTTTTTTTTTTAGGTTTAATAAAGAACCAGAAAAGGCAGAAAATCCTGAAAGTAATCTACGTTCCAACCATAGAAGTTGCAGAAGAAATCAAGAAGAAAGCGATGATGACTTAGATTTTGATATTGATTTAGATGACACAAAAGATAATCAAGTGGGTTAATATATTAAAAACCAGTTTAAAAACATGAAATTCTGAGTGACTTTTGACTTTGGGAGTTTTACACAAAAATACTGTGAAATCCTAATGAGAAAAATAGCAAAAACCTATAGAAAACAGGCACAATTCATAAATGGACGATATAAATTATGCATGATACCTGGATAATTATAAAACTTTGATCCAGAGCTTTTTTTTTTTTAATTTAATTTTTATTTTTTTATTAACCTATAATGTATTATTAGCCCCAGGGGTACATGTCTGTGAATCGCCAGTTTTACACTTCATAGCACTCACCGTAGCACATACCTTCCCAATGCCCATAACCCAACCACCCTCTCCCTATCCCCCTCCCCCAGCAACCCTCAGTTTGTTTTGTGAGCTTAAGAGTCTCTTATGGTTTGTCTCCCTCCTGATCCCATCTTGTTTCATTTATTCCTTTCCTATCCCCCAAACCCCTCACGTTGCCTCTCAACTTCCTCCTATCAGGGAGATCATATGATAATTGTCTTTCTCTGATCGACTTATTTTGCTAAGCGTAATACCCTCTAATTCCATCCACGTCATCACAAATTGCAAGATTTCATCCAGAGCTTTCTTACAATAAATTTTTAAGTAGCATATGCTAGAATTCCTACCAAAATGAGTCTTAGGGTATCATATTGCAGTTTTGGGGAATTATTTAGAAGAGTATACTACCTAATATCAAACTAAAGAAGATTCAGAATTGTTGGTTGTGTAAGAACTATCTTGTGGAAAAATCAGTGCTAGCCTCAAAAATTGGTCCACATTAAGTACTTTTTTATAGATTGATCTCAAGTAAATGGCCCACATAACAAAGCCCCCTTACTTATAAGCTTATTATAAAAAGCTTGTTATTTATTTTTTATAATAATGTTTAACAAGTGTTGTAGCAGTTTTTCTTTGAAAGTATTTTTACATACCTTATCACATTTTTTACCTTTCTTTTTGTGCAAGATACACATACAGAAAATAATGTATAAAATACGTATGTATTGGGGCGCCTGGGTAGCTCAGTGGGTTAGACTTCTGCCTTCGGCTCAGGTCATGATCTCAGGGTCCTGGGATTGAGCCCTTCATGGAGCCCCACATCGGGCTCTCTGCTCAGCCAGGAGCCTGCTTCTCCCAATCACTCTCTGCCTGCCTCTCTGCCTACTTGTGATCTCTGTCTGTCAAATAAATAAATAAAATCTTTAAAAAAACATGTACAGTTTAATAAATAATTATGAAGAAAAGTCATACATCTGTCATCCAGACAAAGAAGCTACTTTTAAACAATATAAACTAGTTTCTCTGATTTTTAGTCCTTTTTTCTTTTTATTTTGAAATATCTCAAGCCTAAACAAAACAGCAAAATAGAAACCTTCTATATCCTTTATCTAGATTCACAGTTGATTTGTTATGTTTTCATTATAGCTCAATAGATTGATATAGATACATACTGTATTTGCTGAACCATTTGAACCTAAGTGGCAGACATTGGCTTTGAACTTTATATGAACAGACTTTTGCATGTTGTATCTCTTCTTTATCTCATTATTCATGAGATTGATGCATGTTGTTGTAAGAGCTCTAATTTTGTCATTTTACATTACTGCATTTTATTCCCTTGTCTTTACATACCATGATTCATTTATCCTCTCCAATGTTGAGGGAGATTTGAGTTATTTTTAAAATTTTCCTAGTACAAAGAATACTGCTGTGAGCATTGTTACATGTGTTTCTTAGTACATATGTGTTGTTTCTTGGTGCACATTTCTATTAGGTCTATATCTAGTAGTGGTACAGGCCATCCAACTGTATGCATGTGCATGTTCAGGATTACTGTATAATGCCAAGTTGTCTTTCCAGAAGAATTATTATTTCCTTTCCCCATAGCAATATATTAAGAGTTCCAGTGCTCTGTATCCTAACACTTCATCTTTGAATTTCTGTCAGTTCGATAAGTATGTATGTCTTTGTCTTATTAATTTTGTAATTTATATGTATATGTATGTATGTATATACACATACACATGCACGTATATATACCATCTCCTTTTATCCATTCATCTATGGAGGGACACTTAGATTGGTTCCATATCTTAGGTATTGTAAGTAATGCTGCATTAAACATAAGGCTGCATATATCTTTTCAAATTAGTGTTTTTATTTTCTTTGGGTAAATACTCAGTGCTGGAATTACTGTATCATATAGTATTTCTATTTTCTAATTTTTTGAAGAACCTCCGTACTGTTTCCCATAGTGGTTGCACCAGCTGACGTTCCCATGAGCAGTGCACGAGGGCCCCCTTTTCTCCACATCCTCACTAGTGCTTGCTATTTCTTGTCTTTTTGAGAGTAGGCACCCTGACAAAGTGTGAGATGATTTCTCATTGTGGTTTTGATTTGTATTTCCCTTAGGATTAATGATGTCCAGCATCTTTTCATGTGTCTCTTGGCCATCTGTATGTCATCTTTGGAAAAATGTCTGTTCAAACTCTCTACCCATTTTTAATCAGATTTTTTGGTTTAAAAATATAAAATCTTAAGGGTGCCTGGGTGGCTCGGTCAGTTAAGCATCTGCCGTCAGCTCAGGTCATGATCCCAGGGTCCTGGGATTGAGCCCCGCTTGGGGCTCCCTGCTTATCGGGAAGCCTGCTTCTCCCTCTGCCTCTGCCAGCAGTTTCCCCTGCTTGTGTGCTTTCTCTCTCTCTGTCAAATAAACAAAAATCTTTAAAAAAATAGAAATATAAAATCTTATCAAAACATTAAGAAAAAATGGACACATCAATGGAGAAAGATAAAATAAATGGAGAGAGATACTGGGTTCATGCTGGGGAAGTCTCAGTATTCTAAGCTTAGGACCTTACAGAAAGTTTCCCATCAATTTGGCTTACCTTTTTGCATATAAACTTATTTTCTGGACATGGTAACTTGTGGTTAAGGAGCCAACTAAATCATTAGTTCAAGCATAAGTTCTTTCCCATCTGAATGAATCATAACTCCTCAGATTACCTTCTCAGGAGAGAGGTTTAACAAAGAGCATCACCTAGTGACATGGCCTAATATCTGCATTTCTGTCTTTAGTGCTAAGAAAGGTTTTTTGTTTGTCTTTTTTTTTTAAGCAGACATAAATTTAATTGTTACATTTGGTTCATTTAATTTTTTGGAATTATTTTGTCTAACCCACCTCCAAGATAATAATAAATAAATAAATAAATAAATAAATAATTTTGTCTATCCCCCAAGATAATAATAATAATAAATAAATAAATAAATATATATGTGCGTGTGTGTGTGTGTGTGTGTGTGTGTATTTTTTTTAAGGTTACCCTAACCCTAACCTAATTTATATATATAAATTCCATATATGTATTTAGGGAATGCAGAATGTATATATATATGGAATTCTGTTACTTGAAGATCCATGCTGTCTGGTACCAGAGTCTGTTTTTTAACTACTGTACTATAGTACCACTCTTGTCACACATCAAAAGGAGTTCCAAAGGTAAATAGAGAAAAAACTGTTAGATGGAGGACATGGCATGAACTTACTTGGTGACTACAGAGGCTTGGAATAATAATGACAACAATTTAATAATAGCATTCATTCAATTCAACAAATAATCACTGAGCACTTAACATGTGCAAGGGCACGGTTCAAGATACGCAGGGTACAACAATGAACCAAACAAAGATCCTTATCCTTTCAGAGATAACTTTTTAGTGGGTAGAGATAGACAACAAGCACTGAACATAAGAAGTAAATTGTATTAGAATGTGAAAGTGCTATAGGGAAAAATATGGAATGGTTGGCTGTTTGGGAGTCTAAGGGCTTGGATGGCATAGGGATGAGGGTATACAAGTGGGTGGCAAGTAGGCTATGATTTTTTTTTCTTTTTTTTTTTTTAAAGATTTTATTTATGTATTAGAGAGAGAGAGAGAGACAGCATAAGCAGGGGGAGTGACAGGCAGAAGGAAAGGGAGAAGCAGGCTCCCCTTGGAGCAGGGAGCCCGACTTGGCTCTTGATCCCAGGATCCGAGGATCATGACCCGAGCCAAAGGCAGATGCTTAACCGACTGAGTCACCCAGTGCCCCTAGGCTATGATCTTTTATTTATTTATTTTTATTATTATTTTTTTAAAGATTTTTTTTATTTCTTTGACAGACAGAGATCACAAGTAGGCAGAGAGTCAGGCAGAGAGAGAAGAGGAAGCAGGCTCCCCACTGCGCAGAGAGCCTGATGTGGACTCCATCCCAGGACCCTGAGACCATGACCTGAGCCTCGGTGGCTCAGTGGGTTAAGCCTCTACCTTTGGCTCAGGTCATGATCTCAGGGTCCTGGGATCGAGCCCTGCATTGGACTCTCTGCTCGGTGGGGAGCCTGCTTCCCCCTCTCTCTCTTCCTGCCTCTCTGTCTACTTGTGATCTCTCGCTCTCTGTGTCAAATAAATAAATAAAATACAAAAAAAATTTTTTTTTAATTTTTTTTACTTTTTTTTTTTTTAGAGGGGCATGGGGCAGCGGGAGAGGGAGAAAGAGACTCTTAAGCAGGCTCCATGCCCAGTACAGAGCCCCATGCAGGGCTTGATCTCCTAACCTTGAGATCATGACCTGAGCTGAAATCAAGAGTTGGATGCCACCCAGGGGCCCTTATTTTACTTTTTAAAGTAAGCTCTATGTGGGGCTTGAACTCACAACCCCAGATCAAGAGTCACTGACTGAGCCAGCCAGGTGCCCCCAGTTTGTATGTTTTCTCTTGGCCTGCCTTTTCATTCATTAATTCTGTCTTCTAGATAAATAGGATTAAGGTATTGAGTGTGCTTTTAAACCCAGTTAATAAATTGCTAATTTCAGATACTGGATTTTACAGTTGCAAATGTCCATTTGATTCTTTTTTTATTGATCATAACTTCAAATATTCCATGTTACCTATCTCGTGCATCTTTTTCTCTTATCTACATATTTATCACAGTTATTTTGAAGTCCTTTTTCACTTTTGTTTGCTTTCATTGATTACTTTATCTTGATTATTGGACACTTTCTCCTGTTTTGTCTATCTAATAATTTTTTTTTAAAGATTTTATTTATTGGTTGATTGATTGATTTGACAGACAGAGATCACAAGTAGGCAGAGAGGCAGGCAGAGAGAGAGGAGGAAGCAGGCTCCCTGCCAAGTGAGCAGAGAGCCCGATGCGGGGCTCGAT